CGTCCTTCGGTTGAGATGTAAAACCGAGGTCCTGACTCTCTGTGGTCATTAATAATCCCAGGGTGTCTCTCAAGAAGAGTAGGGGTGTAACCCCGGTGTCCTGGCCAAATTCCCCCCTGGTCTTTACCAATCATGGCCTCCTAATAACCCCCCTCTCTGAACTGGCTTCATCACTCTGTTTCCTCCACACTGTGAGCTGGTGTGTGTGAGAGGACTGGAGCATCATCCAGATGGGGCTGCACACTGGTGGGGGTGGAGGGGATCCCCATGACCTGTGAAGCACTGTGAGTGGAGTGTCCAGAAAAGCGCCATACAAGTGTAAGGAGATATTATTGTTAATCACAATATGAGTGAATAAGTGCAGGTTGTGCAGGAGACGTTGCCCCACAGAGATGTTCCAACATGATCTGCAGGCAGAGTGAACAAGTACAGTACAAACTATGTGTCGTTGAGAGCGAGAGCACTATTTCTGCTGGATTAAAGAGCTGTTTTCACAAGCCTGCTGGTTTACAGTGTAACAGGGTTTCACCTCACTGGACGTTTTCTTGCCTCGTTTTGAATGGCTGAACATGGCTCTGCGCCCACCAGGATATTTAATCTGTTTTGAGATGTAAATTGGAGGTTTTACAAGTTACTGTGCACATTTTACTTTCACTGTGGTTTGAAATGCCCTCATCAGTACTGATTCTTTCTAACCCTGAAATGTGAAAATAATGTTGCAGTTCCGTTTTTACCAAAAACAGTTCTAGACTGTTAGATCTGTGTATATTACACCATATGAACTCCTTTAGTCCTGGACGTTCTGAGTCAATGACTCCTAGACATGACCTATACAGCCCTGAGCCTGAGGGCTGATCTAATAGGCACAGGGAATCTGTCTATCATGGCATCAAAAACTGTATTAAAATCTCCTCCGAGAATGATTTCAATATCCTGAAACTTATTTTTAATCTTGGTGATCTCTTCCTCAACTTTAAGAAACAAAGCGCTATTATTTTGTTATTAAAGACGTATTTCCCTGAAAGAAACATTTTCCCCCAAGAGCTACAGTCATAATGATCAATCTCCCTCCATTATGATTTTACTGCCAATAAATGTACCTTTCAAAGTACCTCTTGCAGCCCCAGCAGGAGGATTACTCTCAGACATCACTGCCGCATTGATCTTCCAGGAGTTCAAGTCAAAAGAAAATGTTCTAAAAAATAAGAATCTGGACTAAATCCCTTGCACAACAAAACAACCATAAAAATGTAAAAGAGCTAACAGGCACTTAAATCTCTCACAGAAATATTATGTTGGGGATTATAAACACCACAAGAACAGTCCCTCCTTTATTCCTGTTTCACTTCAGTTTCACTTCACCATCGGTGAACCTCGACTCCGCAGTTTCCTCACCACCACCTCCCCTGAGCTCAGCTCCTCTGGTCCGCAGGCGCTCCGGCTCCAGAAACTCACAGGTCTTGCCTCCTTTCCAAAGCGGATCATGAGTAGATGTGCTGGTGACTGAATGATCGCTGTTCCCTCGGTCCCAACCTGAGGACAAGATTCACATCAGCCTTGAATCTGTCCTTGTGTTCAGGAACGACAGCTCCTCAGATACCGGTCACTGTGTGTTTCATCTTCTCCTCATCCTCCTGTGCAGCCTCAGGACCCAGCTCTGACGGTAACTTTCCACCTTATTTATCTTCTG